CACCACCATACCTCATGCTAATGTCCTGATCATCACCATACCCTATACCAGCGTCCTAATCACTGCCATATGCCATGCCATACCAGCGTCTGGCATTTTAGGATCTCAACTGATCAATTTTCAAATATATATCCCAGAATTTGTAGACTCTATAACTTTCACACAGACTAAATAATATAAACTGTTTTGGGTTATTTTTACCCAAAAAAAGTAGCAGAATACATTTCCGCCTAAATTTGTGAAGAAAAATTATCTATTTGCAAAATTATTTTTTTCAACATTTTTGGTATTTTTTCATTTATATAGCAAAAAAAAACAGTGGTGATCAAATACCACCAAAAGAAAGCTCTATCTGTCTCAAAAAAAGTACAGTACAATCAGTACAGTGTTGCATGACTGAGTAATTGTCACTCAAAATGTGATAGTGCTGAAAGCTGAAAATTGGCCTGGACTAGAAGGGGGTGAAAGTGTACAGACTTGAAGTGGTTAAAAAAGTAACAGAATTATTGGCAGATTTAATAGGCGATAAAAAGAATAAAAGCCCACATCTAATAATTGGTAAGCTGCAATATACTGTACTATATTTTTGTTTTTGGGTTTAGATATGCTTTAATATAGAGCTTATTAGTTGGAAATATTCTTTGCTCTACAAAAAAAGTTATTTTATGTCTACTAAATATGATTGCAATACATACTGTTTTTCTTGGAATAAAGTAAAAGTCCCATAACTTAGCTGTATTACCTGTTGATGTTACCAGAAAGTCTGTTATTTTTCAAAAAATGATGGAATTTCCAAAAACTGGAGCAGACAGTTCTGGAGCAGCTGTGCAAAGTAAGCTTCTAGTCTCTGCTTATTCAGTTAAACTTTGAAAATGAAAGCTAGAAGCTGATTGGTTGCCATTCACAGCAGTTCCAGATTCTGGCTGCTCCAGTCTTCGTCAACTTCCCTCAAAGTTGTCTGGCAAAAGGGGTAATCAGGAGATTGAGACAAACCATTTACCACTGACAGATGTGCTTACAGTGGTCAGCTTTATTCCAAAAGGATAAAAAAAATAGCTTGAGTTAGGTTTTTGTTATTCAAGTTCATCTGAATATAACAGTCCATCTAACATTAGCCTCTTCTAAGACTGATACTTCTGCCACCCAAGGGTGGCTACGTTGGTCCTCTATAAATGCAGTGGAGTAGTTAGTGTAGCTGCCTTAAGACAAGAAGTGTGTTATTTTGCCAAATCACTAGGTGAAAATAAAGGGAAAAAAAGCATAAAAAATAAAACTAATGAAGCCATCACATCTAAGGACCAGATCAGTGCTCTCTCCTTTGCTTGTATTTGTCTTTAAGGTTTAGAGTAGTAGATTGTAACTGAACCCCAAGGGTTAAATAATTGACTGACTTTGACAGATCCTGGGAGTTTTGGGAACAAGCAGATGTCTGACTAGCCATCACTGTCAGTGAGTCAGTGGCGCTCCAGGTAAGCAGGAGGGAGCAGAGACAGGGAGACATCTGCCAGTTTTAATAACTACGCATGGCTACCCTTTTTGAGTCTAAACATCAGCTTGTTCTTTAAAACAATGTATGCTTTTCACGGCCTTTTTTTGTTTTAAAGGGACAGTGAAGCAGCATAACTATACTCTCTTTATGAGTTCTTTAAAGCAGAACTAAACCCTCCTATCCTTTACCACCAAGGAAGCTGCCATATTTGTCTTTGTTGATTGACAGTTGCCATTGTGATGCACATGTCATCAACTATAATACCAACAATTTGATAACCCACAGTTTGGTTGAGAGCAAAGCAGCTGTAACTGTTATCATTCATGGTATGCCTTGACTGTCACTGTTTTGGGAAACCATTAAATTATGGGTTTAGTGGCACATTAATTCTTAATAATGGTCAATTATTTCACTGATTTCCCTTGTTATCACTTAATATAAAACACAGGGCATGAGTACAGAGTTGCTAAGAGTAGCAAGAGAGCAAGACAGTGACACTTCTCAATGCATTTCTGCAATTCATCTTGTAATAATTGCGCAGAGGGTGCAAGCAGAGACTTGCATGATAAAAGAATCCAGAATAAAGGGCAGTAAGGCAGGCCATAGATGATGAGATTTTCTTTCCTGCAACTCTGCCAGGAGACCACAATGATTATTGTTAGTGGCTTTAGCCTCTGGTAATACTTTGCAGGCTAGAAATCAGACATTCTGGTTGTACCCTGGATCGACTTGAGTACAATCAGCCTGCCCATACATCGATCAAATCTTTGCCGTTCCCTACTGAACCGGCCAAGATCTGAACCATCTATGGCCGAATTATTATTATATAGGATTTATATAGCGCCAACAGTTTGCACAGCGATTTACATTATAAAATGAGACAGTACAATTACAATACAGTTCAGTACAGAAGGAATAGGAAGGCCCTGCTCATGGAGCTTACATTCTAAAAGAAGGGGGAGATGGTACAAAAGATGATACAATTGCAAGAAAAAGTATGTGAACCCCTTGGGATTACGTGGAGTTTTGCATGAATTGGGCATAAAATGTGCTCTGACGTTATCTAAGTCAATAGAAGAACACAGTCTGCTGAACATAATACTACACAAATATTAGATGTTGCCATGGTTTAATTGACATAACATGTAAACATTCACAGTGCAGGGAGGAAAAAGTATGTGAGGCCCTAGCTTAATGACTTCTCCCAGAGCCAGGAGTGAGCCAACCTTGACTCCAATCAGTGTGATGATATTGGATGTGTTGCTGACAGCTGTCCTGCCCTTAAAAACCACACACCTGTTTCGGGTTTACTGGTTTCAAGAAGCACTGTCTGATGTAAACCATCCCTCGCAGAAAAGAGCTCTCAGAAGACCTACGATCAAGAATTGTTGACTTGCATGAAGCTGGAAAGGGTTACAAAAGTATCTCCAAAAGCCTTGATGTTCATGTGTCCACGGTAAGACAGACTGTCTACAAATGGAGAAAGTTTAGCACTGTTGCTACTCTCCCTAGGCATGGTCGTCCTGTAAAAATGACTGCAAGAGCACAGCGCAGAATGCTGCATGAGGTAAAGAAGAATCCCAGATTGTCAGCTAAAGACCTACAGAAATCTCTGGCACATGCTAACATTTTTGTTGACACATCTACAATAAGGAAAACATTAAACAAGAATGGAGTACATGAGAGGACACCACAGAGGAAGCCATTGCTGTCCAAAAAGAATATTGCAGCACGCTTGAAGTTTGCAAAAGAGCACCTGGATGTTCCACAGCACTACTGGCAAAATATACTGTGGACAGATGAAACCAAGATTGAGTTGTTTGGGAAGAACACACAACACTATGTGTAGAGAAAAAAAAGGCACAGCATCAAACACAAAAACCTCATCCCCACTGTAAAACATGGCGGAGGGAGCATCATGGTTTGGGGCTGCTTTGCTGCCTCAGGGCCTGGACGGATTATTGTCATTGATGGGAAAATGAATTCCAGAGTTTATCAAGACACTTTGCAGGAAAACGTACGACCATCTGTCCGCCAACTGAATCTCCGCAGAGGATGGGTGATGCAACAGGACTGTCAGGAATGGACTTGCCAGTAATGGTGGGACTCACCTGCCTTGTGGGCTGCAGTACCAGGGCTGGCCAGTGGGTGCTCCCAGCAATCAGAGACTCAACCCTGCAGCCAGCCAAACACCTGAGGTTAATTATGCGGGTGTATTTAAGGGATGGCCAGACCTGCAGTCTCTGCCTTGGTGTGTTTTTTTTCCTGGGCCCTGTATCTTGTTCCTGCATTCCTGTCCCTGTCTCTGTCTGATTCATTGCTGACCCTGCCTGATCCGGACCTCTGCTAACTTCTCCTGTTTTATCCCTGGCTTGTGACCCCGACCATTCTCTGCCTGACCCCCTGTACCTACCTGCCCGATTGTTATTGACCCGGCCTGCCTGACGACGCTTGCATTGTATGTACTGTTATCTGTGGGTGGTTTGGTTTGGTTCGTTTGCACTGTGTTATGTTTTAGTATTGCACTGCGTTTATGTTTGTATTGTTAGTCTTTAATAAATTATATTGTTTATAACTTATCTGAAGTCTGCGTTTCCCTGCGTCAGTTCACATACCTCTGGTCATACCCTGGAGCCCTGACATTACACCAAGGCCAATCCTGACCAGAAGTGGCTGCACAGGGAAGCCATCTTGGCTTGTTGCTGGGAAGGATGGATCTTGATGAGGTTGTGTATTTATCTCTGCTAGTGTTTGATGACAGAGAGTATGCTTATCAAACTCTGAAGGAGTATCCCCGGGATGAACTGCTAGAATGTATACGGATCGCTCATTGCCTAGTAGATCAGGGCACAGAGTTCTCTGAGGTTCAGCCATTGATTCAGGTTTGTGCTGAGTTGGTTTCATCTGGTACCCCCGAATGCAGGGATGAACTTTTGCCCCCATTTAGTGCCGACCAGGTAGAGTCCCTGGTATGGTTATTAGAGGATGATGTGGATTACTTTCTGGAGCGTTATTCTGCATGTTCACAACAGGTACTAAGAGATTGTATAAACGCAGTGCAGTCTTTGGTCAGACAGGCTTTGTGTAAGCTGAGCTTTGTTCAACCCATACTGCAGACATGGACAGACTTGTTGCACCCAGCCTCAGTCAGCTTGCAAAAACCCAGTCCTGCTTCTAATCTATTTCTTCAAGCTCTATTCCTGCATTCCCAACAGCACCTCCAGTTACAGCCCAGTATACCCTACTATCTACCGCATGTCAGTACCCTGTTCCCACTCGCTGCACCTATCCTGCCTTTAACCCTGTAAAGAAGCCCTCTGTAGCAAATGTTCCCTCCCCTGTTCCATCCTCCAGCTCTTCTCTGTCTCCAGCTGCTCCATCCGTTTACAAACCTGCGCTTACTTACGGTGCTCCGGTAACTAAAACCAGGAAAAGGCGAAAGTTCTTTCCAACCAATACCATCCTGCCAGTATCCAAACCGGTCAGCCTCCCATCTGAGAACCTGCCTTTTGTGGTGCAGCCTGGTGCCTCGGCGCCCACAATTCAGCCTGATGCCTCTACCCAGCCTGATGCATCTACCCAGCCTGATGCCTCTATTCAGCCTGATGCCTCTATTCAGCCTGATGCCTCCACCCAGCTTGATGCCTCCACCCAGCCTGATGCCTCTACCCAGCCTGATGCCTCCATTCAGCCTGATGTTTCTACCCAGCCTGATGAACTGATCCAGCCTGATGATTCCATTAGGCCAGTTGACTCGATGCCCGCTGTCGATCCAGACGATCCGGTACCTGATGACCCAGTACCCACTGTCATGCCTGGTGACCCGATGCCCGCTGTCGAGCCAGACGATCCAATGCCTGATGACCCAGTGCCTGCTGTCATGCCTGGTGACCCGATGCCCGCTGTCGGGCCAGACGATCCAATGTCTGACCCAGTGCCCGCAGTCATGCCAGTTGACTCGGAGCCCACTGTCGTGCCTGGTGACTCGGTGCCCACTGCCTTGCCAGATGACGCGGTGCCCGCTGGCGAGCCAAATGACCTGATGCCTGGTGACCCAGTGCCCGCTGTCATACCTGGTGACCCGATGCCCGCTGTCGAGCCAGACAATCCCATGCCTGATGACCCAGTGCCCGCTGTCATGCCTGGTGACCCGATGCCCGCTGTCGGGCCAGACGATCCAATGTCTGACCCAGTGCCCGCAGTCATGCCAGTTGACTCGGAGCCCACTGTCGTGCCTGGTGACTCGGTGCCCACTGCCTTGCCAGATGACGCGGTGCCCGCTGGCGAGCCAAATGACCTGATGCCTGGTGACCCAGTGCCCGCTGTCATGCCTGGTGACCCGATGCCCGCTGTCGAGCCAGATGATCCAATGCCAGATGACCCGGTGCCCGCTGTCGATCCAGACGATCCGGTACCTGATGACCCGGTGCCCGCTGTCGTGCCAATTGACTCAGAGCCCACTGTCGTGCCTGGTGACTCGGTGCCCACTGCCTTGCCAGATAACGCGGTGCCCGCTGTCGAGCCAAATGACCTGATGCCTGGTGACCCGATGCCCACTGTCGAGCCAGACGATCCAATGTCTGACCCAGTGCCCGTGGTCATGCCAGTTGACTCGGAACCCACTGTCGTGCCTGCTGACTCGGTGCCCACTGCCTTGCCAGATGACGCGGTGCCCGCTGGCGAGCCAAATTACCTGATGCCTGGTGCCCGGTGACCCGATGCCCGTTGTCGTGCCTGATGACCCGGTGCCCGACGCTCCGCCTGGGGGCCGGTGCCCGCCGCTGCCGCTCCGCCTGGGGGTCCGGCCCCCGTTCCGCCTGGGGGCCCGCGCCGCCGCGCTCCCTCCTGGGGGGGCCCGGTGCCTGCCGCTCTGCCTGAGGGCCCGGCGCCCGCCGCTCCGCTTGGGGGCCTGATGCCTGTCGCCCCGCCTGGGGGCCCGATGCCTGTCGCTCCGCCTGGGGGCCCGATGCCTGTCGCTCTGCCTGGGGGCCCGATGCCTGTCGCCCCTCCTGGGGGCCCGCCGCTCCGCCTGGGGGCCCGATGTCTGTCGCCCCTCCTGGGGGCCCGATGCCTGTCGCCCCTCCTGGGGGCCCGATGCCTGTCACCCCCCTGGGGGCCCGATGCCTGTCGCCCCGCCTGGGGGCCCAATGTCTGTCGCCCCTCCTGGGGGCCCGATGCCTGTCGCTCCGCCTGGGGGCCCGATGCCTGTCGCTCCGCCTGGGGGCCCAATACCTGTCGCCCCTCCTGGGGGCCCGGCGCCCGCCCGCTCCGCCTGGGGGCCCGGCGCCAGCCGCCCCGCCTGGGGGCCCGATGCCTGTCTCCCCTCCTGGGGGCCCGATGCCTGTCGCCCCTCCTGGGGGGGCCCGATTGCCTGTCGCCCCTCCTGGGGGCCCGGTGCCTGCCGCTCCGCCTGGGGGCCCGGTGCCTGCCGCTCCGCCTGGTGGCCCGGTGCCTGCCGCTCCCTGCTGGCCTGGTGATCCGGTGTCCAGCTCAATGTGCCTCTGCTCCGGCCTCTGCCCGGAGTCCAGCTCGATGTGCCTCTGCCCGGAGTCCTGCCCGGAGTCCTGCCCGATGTGCCACTGCCCGGAGTCCTGCCCGATGTGCCGCTGCCCGGAGTCCTGCCCGATGTGTCGCTGCCCGGAGTCCTGCCCGATGTGCCTCTGCCCGGAGTCCTGCCCGATGTGCCTCTGCCCGGAGTCCAGCCCGATGTGCCTCTGCCCGGAGTCCAGCCCGATGTGCCTCTGCCCGGAGTCCAGCCCGATGTGCCTCTGCCCGGAGTCCAGCCCGATGTGCCTCTGCCCGGTGTGCCGCTGCCCGGAGTCCTGCCCGGTGTGCCGCTGCCGGAGTCCAGCCCGGTGTGCCGCTGCCCGGAGTCCTGCCCGGTGTGCCGCTGCCCGGAGTCCAGCTCGATGTGCCTCTGCCCGATGTGCCGCTGCCCGGAGTCCTGCCCGATGTGCCGCTGCCCGGAGTCCTGCCCGATGTGCCAGTCTTTGATATCCCGCCAGTTACCAGACCCGGGCGGTGGAACATTTTGCCCAGCTAGGACTGTTTGGAGCGTCCTGAGGCCGCTCCTTGGGGGGGGGGTACTGTCAGGAATGGACTTGCCAGTAATGGTGGGACTCACCTGCCTTGTGGGCTGCAGTACCAGGGCTGGCCAGCGGGTGCTCCCAGCAATCAGAGACTCAACCCTGCAGCCAGCCAAACACCTGAAGTTGATTATGCAGGTGTATTTAAGGGATGGCCAGACCTGCAGTCTCTGCCTTGGTGTGTGTTTTTCCCTGGGCCCTGTATCTTGTTCCTGCATTCCTGTTCCTGTTCCTGTCCCTGTCCTTGTCTCTGTCTGATTTGTTGCTGACCCTGCCTGATCCGGACCTCTGCTGACTTCTCCTGTTTTATCCCTGGCTTGTGACCCATTCTCTGCCTGACCCCCTGTACCTACCTGCCCGATTGTTATTGACCCGGCCTGCCTGACGACGCTTGCATTGTATGTACTGTTATCTGTGGGTGGTTTGGTTTGGTTCGTTTGCACTGTGTTATGTTTTAGTATTGCACTGCGTTTATGTTTGTATTGTTAGTCTTTAATAAATTATATTGTTTATAACTTATCTGAAGCCTGCGTTTCCCTGCGTCAGTTCACATACCCCTGGTCATACCCTGGAGCCCTGACAAGGACAATGACCCAAAGCATACAAGTAATTCAACAAAACATTGGCTGCAACAGCACAGAATACGCCTTCTGGAGTGGCACAGTCAGAGTCCTGACCTCAACCCGATTGAAATGCTGTGGCATGACCTTAAGAGAGCGATTCACACCAGACATCCCAAGAATATTGCTACACTGAAACAGTTTTGTGAAGAGGAGTGGTCCAAAATTACTCCAGATCGTTGTGCAGGTCTGATCTGCAACTACAGGAAACGTTTGGTTGAGGTTATTGCTGCCAAAGGAGGGTCAACCAGTTATTAAGTCCAAAGGTTCACATACTTTTTCCTCCCTACACTGTGAATGTTTACATGTTATGTGCAATTAAACCATGGCAATGTCTAATGTTTGTGTAGTATTATGTTCAGCAGACTGTGTTCTTCTATTGTTGTGACTTAGATGACGTTCAGAGCACATTTTATGCCCAATTCATGCAAAACTCCACGTAATCCCAAGGGGTTCACATACTTTTTCTTGCAACTGTAGCTGCAGGGGATGACCTGATGGAGGTGACTCAAGTACAGTTCTTAGGCAGAGGTGGGGTAGGTTTCCTGAATAAGTGAGTTTTCAAAGATCACCTAAAGGCGGGGCTGACCGGACATACTGGGGTAGGAAGTTCCAGAGGATGAGAGAGGATCTGGAGAAGTTCTGGAGGCGAGAGTGGGAGGAGGTGACGAGGGAGATAGATAGCAAGATTTCTTGGAGCAGAGCGGATGATTCGGATGATATTTGGTGATGTATAAAAATATGAATGGCTTCACAAATTTGTGTGTCATCCTTGTGCAGGGGTCATGCCAATCTTCTCTCTATTGCTCCAATTTTAGTATATGTGCTGCCAAAGCAAGCACGTAATTAACTCATCTAAATGTGTACCTTGTGGTAGGTCAAGTGACATGTTATTATATGATCAAGTATGGAAGACAAATGAAGCAATGTCACTTCCCTATGTTCCGGTGACTTATTCTAGAACTTCTCCACTAATGCCCCTCTGCATGATAGTTTTATACAGCATGCTGTGAGCTAGTAAGAAAGGGGAAGAAGAATAGAACCAGTTGCTTGGTTAAAGCTTAAAACATGGTCCCTAAAACACTTAATTAAAGCAGAGATAGGCTTGGCTCAAAGGAGTGTTGGCTCCTTACATGGAGTCATTGCACTTTAGCTATCGCTGCAAGCTCCTAGTCAATGCACATACTACTCAGGACTCCACACCCCTATTTCATTGTAAAGATTGTTTTACTGAAATGCAGTTGAGATCATGTCCCCATGATCTATTTGTTCTGCTGAGCACAGCTTTATTCTAGTTAACTGCACTACTGCTTTCTAAAGGCAACCAATTTGTCAGCTTGTAGTGCACTTTTGGTAGGTATGGTAGCTAACCCAAGTCAACTGTTTGCTCACTCTGGGGACATTCCAGTAGACTTTGCTTTGTAGTTAAAAGGCCATCTATCTCCCTGAGTAACATCTAGACCTATCACAGTGGATAGTGCTGGTCTCTGAATACCGTGTAGTACCGCACAACAACCACAATTTCAGGATGGTTGCAGCACAGCTCCATTCACTTAAAATGGTTGCTGTTTGACAACTGCAACAGGAGGTATAATTTTTGAGGCAGCATGTGTACAACCCCCTCTGGCCACTGTGATTAGTTAAATGGAGCATGTAGATGTGGCTCATCTGCCTAGTTTTTATGCCCCAACCAGCAAGTTCCCCCCCCAACTGACCATAAGGGTAACTGGGCCCTTACTGAAAAATCTAATTTTTTTGAGTAACAACTGTGGTATTCATTCAGTTTATTATATTTAAATATCAATATTTCAACTTCCCTTCATATGCAGAGTTGTCCTGCAGACAGCTATTATCATACATAAGTTAGTGATTGATATGAAAGGACCACACATGTTAGGAAAAGTTAAAAAGTAAGGCTCGAAAAAAAAAACCCCAAGCAAACAACCAAATAAGTTAGCAGCGGCTGTTGTGTGTCTGAAACCCAGTACCATGCACAGAGTGGAATGGAACCTTAACTTCAGCACAATGGCAACTATAATGTGCCTCTAAACCGCCATCCATGGACAAAGTGTAATGGAGTATCAAACACTAGACCACAGAAAGATAGCAACGGTGGTGTCTCCAACCCATGCAGAAAAAGATAGTGGCAATTTGGCAGTTTTTGCCCCACAATTCCTTGTAAGCATTAGATATGCACTTTTATTTCCATTGCAGTTAGTTCTTAGGGGTAATTTACACTAGTGGCAGCCCTTGTTGCCCCACTGAAAAGCCCTCTGCAGTGTAATGCTTTTAAAAGGGAGGTTGATAGGCAGCTGGGAGACAATACATCACCTCCTCATTTCCTCTTTTATCCCTGAAAAGTCCACACCCTTGCATTGCAAGCATGTGCAAAGCATCATGCCTATGGCATGTGTACTACCCCTCAGCTTCAGATTAATGGGGCCATAGAGGTGTGGCTCAACTACCTTTTTTTCAGCCCTCTGGTCTCGGGTGTGAACTAGCCTATATTATTTTTTTCATAATAACATCTGTCATTTTGATTCGGTTTTTTTATATTTAAAACTCAA